ATTTCTGAAGCTGATGTTGAATAATATTGTATGTCAACTATAATTTTATATACATATAGTCTCGGGACATGGAGTAGAGAGTGGGAATGGAATCAATGGAATTGTAATAGATAAGCATGATATCGGGGGTAGGAGGGCATGGGGGAGGGGGGTTGTTACTTTGTGAGGGTGAAAAGGATAACTATTGCATTGTTCTGTACACCTGAAATTAACAATAAAAATTTTTTTAAAAAATGACTGTTCTTCACCAAACAAAAATTTTAGTTGTAGTTCCACATGTAAAACTCTTATCCAAGGTTGGGATCATTAGTTGGGAAATTACGTATTCATGTGTGTACATAGCTAGATGTATCCACCCAAAAGACAGCTATAAATATACAGTCTCCACAAAATGTTAACAGGTCTTGTGTCATTTCTCATTGATGTTTTATTTTAAGTATAGCAATATTGAAAGATAGTTGTATGGATGTACATGGAAGACACTCTTTTGTCTCTTAAGTAGGTTGTGTAAACCTTGGGAGTTCAGTCCTGGCAGCAGCCTGTGAGAGAGGCTGCTTGAAGCCTCACTTCCCTCATAAGAGGTTGTGTTTCAGGTTGCTGGTTTCTCCATGTCAACCCTCGAGTTAAATGAACACATTTCTATTACATAGCCTTTCATCTGAGCTAGTGTCTAGGGGTTGATAGGTGCTACAGCTAATGCCTTATTTGGGCCTGGTGAGGAAGGCCATCACTCCCTCTCCTCCTCCTGTGAAACCCTAACTAAAGCTCTCTGTCTCTCAGGGATTTGTTTATGGTCTACTTCATTTTGAAGTGGGGGCATTTATTACATTAATATTTTTCCATTGATTGTACCTGAAAAGAGCCAAAGTCATGCCTGTCTTTCTTTTATAGCTTATCACATTCATGACAGTCAGAGCACTGTGACAATTCTTCGAGCTCTGCTTGAGGGCTATGAAGTGAAGCTTCGAGGAAGGACAGAACTCAAGGTATAACGTCCATTTATTTTGTGAGTCACACCACTTGGACACACCCGTTTCTGGAGAGGCCATGGGCTGCTGAATGACTTTTAGGTGAGTGTCTGAGACTCAGAGCTATAATTTGGGCAGAACTTTCACCCCATTAGTGGTTCCCAAAAGATTGTTCTCTTTTGCCTCAGTTTTCTTCTCTTTAAAATGTGGCTATAGTGAGGAGGATTGTTAAAACTCTTGCATTTTTTCAGACTCTGAATTGCCTCTTTGTCTCTTAAATAATTGCCTAGAATTTGGTAATTGCCAATGATCTGCACTATTATTTACATTTTCTAACTTCCGTTTGGTTTACTCTTTGGCAGTACCAGACATTGTTTAGTAAGCTACAGTACTGCTGAGTTTGAGTTTTCTATTCGCCTGATCAGTGGGCATGCTTTTTGACTTTTCATCCCCACCATTGATCCCCTGTTTATGCCTTTCTCCAAAGACCAGGAGGAATAGTGAGTTCCTATGAAAGAGAAACATTTTGTACCACCTTTTCTCTCTGTTAGGACTAACGTTTGATCTAGGATTCAGGATTAGGATAATTTTTATTTTTTCTTTCTTTCTTTCTTTCTTTCTTTCTTTCTTTCTTTCTTTCTTTCTTTCTTTCTTTCTTTCTTTCTTTCTTTCTTTCTTTCTTTCTTTCTTTCTTTCTTTCTTTCTTTCTTTCTTTCTTTCTTTCTTTCTTTCTTCTTCCTTCCTTTCTTCTTCTTTTTTTTGCCATTTCCACTGGATTTTTTTCATCTTTCTCTGAATGACTCCAGGACCCCTGGCTGCCCCAGTTGCCAGAGAATCTAGATATCTGATAATCTAACTCCTTCATTTTCAGATGAAAAACCAAGGTCCAGAGAGGTGAATTAATTTTATCAGGCTCACAGAGTCAATTGATAGCAGTCAAGCACAAACTCAGGAAGTCTGACTTGCCATTCATTACCCTTTCCATGATATCATTGTGTATGAAAATTATTTCCTCAGTGATTATTCTTGGGCAAAGTAAAACCTCCTCACTGAGTAATGCAGTTTTTTCTTCTTCTGTCATTGGCATGCCTTCCCCAAATGGTGGCAATTTACATGGAAAAGGATTTCAGAAGCTAAGGTTGAAAGGCCTGATTCTAGTTGATCAATTCCTTTTCTGGCTAGTCTTAGTTTGTCTCTTCCAACAGATTTTTAATATCTCCCAGCCAGTGGGATGAGTCACTTATGAGGGGACCGAGGTTCCTTTCCTACTTCTATGGAGAACTCAGTGAGATGATGGGGGTGATGATATTACTTGGGCAGTGAGTCAAATCACCCAAGGCTTTTGTGATCCCAATATATATTGTGTCATTTCTCAGCAGAGGAGGACAAAGGCAGATTGGTTTCCTGAAGAATTTTCCTTTCTGTATTGCTGAGCACAGTTTCTCTCATTTAAAAGCTGATGGACTGAAGAGGTGCCACTTTGGAAACTGAACAGGAAAAATATGCCCCTACACCATGGTTTTTATTGCCCCCTGCCCACATTTCCAGTCAGAAGCAATCATATCTTAGGGTGTTTCACGTACAAAAGCAGGAATACTACAAAAGGGCCCTTTGAAGCTTTAAAGGTTCCCGCACCCCCGGGAATTTGGGAAAATGCTATTTTTCTCCAGCAAGTTGGAGTAAGAGGTAGGGAGAGGCTTCCCCTAAGTCCATGTCAGGTTTTGGTTATTGGTGTGGCAGGAGCCTCCTGAGGAAGGAAGATTGAGAGGGAGATACTGAGACAGATAAAGAGAGGAGGACCCAAAAGAAAGGAAGAAGCAATGAGAATAAGAAAGGTAATAGGAAGTAAGACATCAAAAAAGGAAGGACGAGAAAGGGGATCCTTTCTATCACTGTCCTCCCACCTGCCCACCAGAGAGCAGGTATTGGACATTACATAGTAGGGACTGGGGGATTCCTTGTCCCTTGAGGACATGCAATATATCCCCAATAAGACCATATCACCAGCACACTTCAGAAATTCTGATTCAACATTTCCACCACTCATCTACTTTGTGCTGCTGGAAAGCAAGAGTTGTTCTAGTACATGGGTCAGAGGGACCACATATGATGGCCAGCAAGGTGTGATTTCAAAGCTAAAAGCACTCTCCCCTTACAGCTGGCTGATGTTTGAAATTCCTCCACCAAAGTATCTTCTCTTAGGCCCAAGGCTTGGATCTAGTAACAACAACACTCTTCTCCCACACCCCCATCCCCTCTCCTTCATTGGAGTGATGACACTTTAAATTGTTTCCCTTAGTGGAATAAAAAATGTGGATTGGACTGGGTAAGAGAAGATAACATAGAGAAATTGAGTAATAGGGTGGGTGGTGGGTACAAAGAAAGAGTCCAAAAATGAGGAAGCTGAGGTAGCTTGGGGGAGGACTCATTTAGAGACGAGAAGCTCAGCTTCTCTGAGGAGCTGTCCCACTGCCCACTCCAACCCCCTTTTGCCCTATGCTGGGAATAAACCATGTGCTTAACTGGCCAATTCTGCTTTTTTCAATATTTCTTTCCTAATGGCCTGGTAATAAGTCATTTTATTACTTCTTTTCTTATATAAGTCCTGTTTCAGTTACTGTTTTCCTGACAAGTTTGAAGCACCTTGCTGAGACTTTATATATATATATATATATAAATATATATATATATCTTATATATATATATATATATATATATATATATATATATATATATATANGGCTTATCTGTTGTATTTACCAGAGCCTCTTAAGTAGATTTACATGTTGAAAAGCCTTTCCCAAATGGTTGGTCTCAGCCAGTTTATGTTGTTGTTGTGACCTTGTTTCTGAATTCTGGGACTACATAGTGTCTGATTCCCAGGTCCCTAAGCATAATCCTATTTTATTTGCAATTTCTCCTTTTCCCCCAAACACTTCTAGCCCTACTCTCATCCTCTAATCCATATACATGGACATGCATGCATACTAACATGTGCATATGCGCATGCATGCACACACACACACACACACACACACACACACACCATCAATTGAGCTAAGAAATAATGAGGTTGTATTGACAGAGTCCTGCAGGTCAGAAGATCTGGTCTGTATTTCTTAACCCAACAATGACTCAACCTGTGACATTGGACAAGTAACTTCATCTTCCCTGTGCTTCCATTTCTCCACATAGAGGCCTCTTCTGACCAATGATTATTAGGAAGCTCATTAATCACAAGCTTTAAAATTCTTAACAGTTGCTTTTTGTCCTCTAGACCTGCCCCTTCACTCCAGTGTAATGGAAAAGCTATATAGTGTGGAGGCAAGAGCAATAAAAATTTGGAATGTAAGATGTAAACTATATTTATTATGCTGACCATTTCACTATATATATATATATATATACACAAATATTGAATCATTATGTTGTACATCTAACTAATAAAATGTTGCAGGTCAATTATACCTCAATAAAAATGGCAAAATCATAGTAAAAAAAACTTGGAGTTTAGTAGAGTTGGGTTCAAGTGCCAGCTATGCCTGCTTATTGACAAGTAATTTAATCTTCATGAACCTCAGTGTCCCCATTTGCAGAATGAGGTTAGTAAATAAACCTATCTTCCCAAGGTTTTGTAAGGATTAATAAGACAGGAGATGCCGTGTCTTAAAAGTGTCAGGCCAAAGTTAGATGCTATTGTTTGGGGGCTGATCTCTGGGACTGGCTAGAGATTGGTATTGAGTCAAAGAGTTTGCTTTAAGCTTTAGTTGTTGCCTACTTGTTATCCCTCTTTCCCTTCAGCAGAATGTTGGAAGTAAGGTAGGTAAACAGAGAGCTAGGATTCTAAGGATTCTCCTGGATGGGATCCAAAACCTGAGAGCCCCTGGAGCTCCCCTGCATACTCTTTGACTTGGAAGCTTTCCTGAGTCTATAACACTCCCATCCTCTTTTGCAACCTTTAGTTTTGGCATCCTGGCGTGTCCCTAGGACTCATCCAAATATCTGGACAATCCTGGCATCTGCAAAGCTCCCTTGGGGATTGGTATGCTGTCCTGATAGCCTCTATATCTTAAGACAAATAGTAAAATATGACTGGGGGTTACGGTCCTCAAGTTTGATCTTTAAGAGTATGTTTTACCAAAATGATGTCCAATGATACCCTCAACGTTCTAAGTGCTAAATGGTTGACAGTTCCAGTTAATGGGACAGTCTGATTATCTACTGAGCAACTGCTCTGTACAAGGCACTGTACTAAGTACTGTGAGGAAAAGAAAGAGCTTAGGAGGCAGAAGATCTGGGCTTGTATTTAGAGCCTGAGACATGGTTTGATAGTTGTTTTTATTTAACTACACTGTGAGCTCCAGAAAGGCAGAGCAATCTCTGTATTCTCAGCCCTAGTACAGTGATGGTGGAATAAATGTAAGAATGAGTGATGTGAGTATATTTCCAACTTACTCACCTCTTCTGAAAACAGAGTGGCCCCAAACGGTCCAATTATTTGAGGTTTAGGGTGAGTTGGTTGCCAGTTAATGGAGGTTGGGCTGTTGTGGTATTCTCTTCCTACTTGCTTCATGGAGGGCTTGCTTGTTCAGAGCCTTGAACAAAATATTTGCAAAATGTTTGAGATTCTCCAATTAAATGTGCTCATTATTATTATAGTTGTCATTATTAAGAGATGAATATATATGATGTAAAATAGAATACAATGGATTTGATATTTAAAGGGGGGCCAACCTAATTGGAATTTCTAAATTAAACAATTTAGAACTGTTCCAAATGAGATCTACTGAAAGTAAGACCATATTTCAGATCAATTAGTTGGAAACACATCCCATTATTTTCCTCAGTCTTAGTAAACACATCTTTTTCTTATGGATTGGAGGAAATGAGAGGACAGACAAAAGATAATTGAAAGGAGGAGAGAGAAACACATTGAAAGGAGTGTTTATTGGAAAAAAGGGAGGAAAGGGCAGAGGCAGAAAATTTGGCTCCCCTGAGGTCATCACTAAGGCTCTGGGATGACCAGCTTGAGTTTACATTCCCTTTGTCTTCTCAGACCGATGGTTCTTGACAGCCAGTTAACTGGGCTATAGATGGAGGCTTCCCTGGGGTCTCTGTCTAACTGAATGTCCTGGCAGGATGGAAAGAACACTGCAGAAATGTAGACCTCTCAAAGAAGCCAGGATGCCCTGGGCTTAAAAGCAGTTTCACAGCCTGCTTTCCATTTCTGTTCCCTTTCTGGGTTTCGTGAGAGTTGTGTATCAGGTGTTGGGGGGAGATAGACTCTGAATGTATGTACCCTAGATACAAAAGACAATGTGTCGCCTAATGCCAAAAGATCAGGGTAAAAATGGCAAGCAAACTCTTCAATTGAGCATACAGATGTTTGCTTGCTATGAAGCCAAACAGCCACACATTCTCAAAGATGGAGCTGCATGGATATGGGTAGACAAAACATCTGGATGGCAGCTTGACATGGTGATCACTTTTCATCTGGCTGATGTGGCAGCTTATGGAGCTTGCCTGAGCCTCAGGTATATATGACAAGGAAGCCGTGTAGGAAGGACAACTCCAGGGAGTAGTGACAAAAGGATAGCAGAAGCAATTGCTGAGCCAAACTAAATGTGCCCTATTGGTCAGAAAGAGATTTTTAGTTTTATAACATGTTTAATTAGAGTCTTCCTATTTTCTGCTCTGCCACACTCTCTTCACTATTGTTGTGTCTCTACTGCCCTGTAGGCAAGTAGGCCATGGCCTGCAACCAGGGGAGATTGCAGCCCTCCAAAGAAGAAAAGCAGACAGGCAGCTGATGAGAAACAAGCCATAAGGTAATGGCCAGCAGGAAAACACAGCACAGGAGCTTGCCAAATTTTCAAAGCCGGGGCTCCCTTTGGCATGGGTGCCAGTCTCAGCCTACAGCCTGTTGGCAGAGTGTGATGGAGTTGGTGAATTTCCAAGCTCTGCTGAGTTATGCAAAAACCTTGTGGGGAGGCCTGTTGCAGAGGGAACTGCATCCGAGGGAGGTCGGCTGCCCTGACCTAAGTGAGACCCTTGCCTCCTGCACTGATAACATATTTGAATGTTAACAAGCCTGGCCTTGTTATCCAGTTGTCAAGCAGGTGCGCCTGTCTCTTTCATTGTCAAGCACCTGGGCCACTTGGTGAACCACCTCAAATCTTTAGAGACTCACATATATCTAAGCAACCCAGCAATATGGCAGTGACCCCCCACCTTTCCTGGGATGGCAAGACCATCTTTGAGGGGATGTTGATGCCATTTCCTCTGGAGGCAATGCCCAATCCCTTCCAAGGTTAGCATTGCCAACCAAACTAATACTGGCTACCCTTGACTGCCTGGCTTAAATTCCGGACAATTTCCCCCATCTTTCCTCCTTTACTAGAATGGCGTGATTCTGAAGCAGCAACAATAGCCTGATTATCTAGAATTCTTCCCACATATTTATTTCTGAAGAATCTGTTGCTTTCTTGGGCTCCTGAGAGTATCTCTTTTTTATCTTGCTTTTTTATTCTCTATTTTATGGTAATTTTGACCCCAAGACCCATTGCTCCCTCCACATATCTTTGGAAATCACAAGATTATGAAGTAAACATAAGGGCATCCCCACACATTCCAGTTCACTTGTTTTAATGTCCCAGAATAATCACAATTCTAGCGGCTACTACCAAAGTCATCCACATACTTCCTGTTTTTCCACTAGCCTCTGTTGACTTCTTCAGCTCTCTATGACTATTTCTCTCCTAAGAAAACTCAGTCCATCTTCATTTCTGCGACTATCACAGGTACCCTTTATAAGTCATAATAGTTATGCTTCTGAAAGGCTTCTGTACAGCGCATGTGGCTCCCCCCATCACCCTGCTACCTGGGTCCTGGATTTGTTCTTTCCTATTGACTAATATAAGCAGATAAACAGCTGGGACACAAATTCACCCAATTTAAAGGACCATTCTTTTCTATGGGGAAGGAAACACACACAGAGAAATGCATAGTAAGTCTCAGTTTCTGTCTCTTTCTGTCTCTCTGTCTCTTTCTCTCACAGCAGGAAAGGGTCTGGAAGCTCTAGAAGGGTTTTCCCTTTGGCAGGGTGGTGCAGGCATTGAAGGAACTGTACAAGAAACCTATCCTAAGAATGTTTTGGAGTTTGCAGCATTAGACACTTCATTGGTTGTGTGCTTGGTAGTGCTTTCCCAGCATAGAAGATGGATGTGACTTAGGCCATTTACACTCACTCATCTGGATTTCCTTGACAGAGGGTGTGATTCTGTGGGCTGTGGGTGTATGGAACATATAGAATCCAATTGGGCCAAAAGTGGATTTGACCTCTGATCCTGGCTTCATTAGCACTTGTGCTTTAAGCAGCATCTTAATTGACCACAATGGCCTTGGCACTCTGTGCAAATCACAACAATCCTCAATAAGAGCACTCTAGACAATTTCAGAAGGCTTGACCTAAATCCAAGAGCTCCTGGACATCTTAGTTATCTCTTTGAACATGCCATATTGACACCACCCAGTAACACCACTTATTCCAGAATGTTTTGGGCTGATTTTCAGTGAGATAAATTCAACCTACAAAAGACCCACAACAGCTATGAATGCCTCTTACCCAGTGCCACTATCATGGGAGCCATTGGGGAAAACTTGAAACCTTTAGATAACCCTGTGGAGTTGGAAAGGGAAGGAAAGATGCTATGAAAGGGCACACAGCTTTGGCGAACTGACTACAGGGGCTGTCTCTCAGGCAGGGCTTTGCTGTCTACCTAGTAACTCCTTTGTCATATCCCCAAATATTCACCACTCCCCAAACCTTCCTAAAGGTTTTCACTTCATATGGTTACTTCCCCTAAAATTTCGCCAACTGTGTTTCATTTGGCGTTGACAAGCCTCCTATTTGAATCATAGATTTTCCTTTTGGAGGATGAAGGGCAATTAACCATTCATATTATAATGAAAGTGAACTGAGCTAGATGGTCAGGCAGACATGGAAGTTTTATTTTGATTGGGATAAAGAAAAATGAGGAAGTTGGCAGTTTTGAAGAATGGCAGATCATACTGAAGGACTTGAGTGAACACAAGAGCAATGGATTCCTTATGCTTTGGGTTTTCCTTAGACCCCACAAATAGGAAGAATGCACCCTTTTTCTTCTGCTCTCAGTATCTAGGAGCTCTTCCATAGATGCAATATAACTCTGCTCCATGTGGGTTAAATTAAACTTTGTGGACTGGCCTAGAAACCTGACTACCATATATATAGCATTGTTTCTATGGAGTAACGTGTTCCAAATTCCAAATCATTGACTTATAAATGTTAGGACACGCCTCATTAGGTTGAGGACTACCTGTATTTTAACAATTCCCTTTTTGGTTTAAATTTGTAGAAACCATTGTGAATAGCAACATCTAATTATGCAAATCTGACAAATGTAATAATGTTTATTTGTTCAATGATCCAGGAAAGTTTAGCAATTTGCAAGCTGTTCATAGAGTAGTGATGTTGCAGGGCTTGGAATCATCCATGTTGAAATCCTGTGAAAGGCCTAACATGGAGAAGGTATACTTAATGTTTTTTCTTTTTCCCACCCAGGAGCAAAAAGCCCTAAGATTGAAATCTTCTCTTGTTGAGGCAATGGAAAAATCTCACTCCAGTTCAACAAATTTTTCCACCTGGGCAAGAAATTAGTGAATGACCATACCTCGAAGGATGACCAATCTCCAGGGTTATTCAAGCCTAATTCCAGTGTAAGGGGGCCCCTGGGATGTAACTTTAATAAGCTTTGTTCATTACACAGCCATCACCAAATAGGCTGTTTGAATGTAAACTGCAATGGATGTGAACCCAAATGAAGGGGAGAGAACCACCTCCAGGTTTAGTCATTTCAAAATAGCAAACACAACTTGGACTAAGATAAGAAGGTCTCCTTTTTCGCAGAAAAAAGAAGGCACTTTGTTTTCTTTTTCATTTTGTTTGAGTTTCTAGAAAGTATTTAATGAGCATAATTTATAACTCAGATACTATGAGATTAGTGCCAGGAAAAAAAAAATTCCAGCAAACATACATCTGAATCCCAGTCCACTGTGACCTCAGTTGGCTGGAATGCATAGGGAATGGGGAGAGGAGTAGAGTTTGGTTAATTGTGTTATTTAGATAACTGTGAACTAAGAACTTTGTTTATTTTTTTATTGTTTATTACTCAAAATCTTCCCCAAACTGTCATGGTGTCTTTTCCTGTCTAAGTTAGGAGAATCTAGGCAACATAATTGAGTTGTCCCTACTAGGTGGGTGACTATCTCACTGGGCTTCAGGGTCATATTATGAACAGGACAGAAGAGATGTAAGAGATATTGTCAAGGTAAAAGGTACAGAAGTGATGGATTAAATTGAGCAATTCCCTTAAAGTTTTGTACTTTTGTTCCCTTCTCCTTCCCACCCTGCCTTTCAAGCCCCTACCCATGCCCCTGAGATAAATCCCTTTGAACATTAGTTTTTGCTTTACACTTTTAGTTTTCCAGATTCTACTTTCAAGAGGTTATTGGCAGTGTTTGGCCACAGTCACATGAACCAAAGCAAGAAGGCTTAAGTCACAGGCATGTTTAAAATAGTTAAGCAAGATTTTCCTCCCTTTTATTATAAAAAATAATCTCTTTATTAAAACAGCTGAACCCAAACATATCAGCCAGTAAAGCAGTTAATTCCTTTAGAACAAGTCTTTTTAAAGAAAGAAATGTCTAAGGTATAATTTGATACCTTTCTAACTAAAATTTAATTTTTTTTTCATTATCAACTCACCCTGAATCTGAGCTTAAAGTCAAAAGCTCTTCCCACCAGTTTTCCCTCCACCTTTAGTCAAAGCACCTTTGGACTTTTTTCAGAAGCTAACTTTTCTCAGCCTCAGATGGTCTATTTACTATGCTAAAGCTGTTCAAGAGGGTGTGGAAAAGGCTGAAGTTGCCTTTCGACCTCTTTGAACTAAGTTCCAAATTCCTTTTTCTAGACATAGCAGAGAAGAAAACTGAAGTGTTATCTTCTACTTGTGGCAACGTCTCAGTCAAAAGCTGAACTTATAAGACTTCTAGAGAGAAGCAAGGCCTAACAGAAGTTTCCAGGAAAGGTACCATCTCAAAACAGAACTTCACTTCTCCTAGAGTCACATTGTCCTCTATGATGAGTATGGAAGGATTGTTGGGGGCAAGGGAAAGGGGAGAGGGCTGCAACTATAGGCTCATGGATCAAGACTCTCCCAAACATAATCTAGTCCTTTAAGCCCAGGAATTGTAACCCCAGGGCTAGGACTGCAAAATAAAGACTATTAACCAAAGTCTTTTATTGAGCAACAAGATGCATTGAGGGTGATACTTGACTCTGTATGTGATCCCATCTCCTGTTTCCCTCTTTGGTATTTCTTTAGGCCAGCACGTCATCCTCATCGAAGCCTACCTTATCTAGCCTACTAATCCTATCCTGTTCACGATCACTTCTTCTTTTGCTCGATTCTGTCATGAACCCCTATCTAAAACCACTCCATCCTTTCTTGGATTCTTTTTCATTTAGGCCTTCTGCATTGACCAAAACTAAGCTTTCTTCAATTTGCCTTAGCATTCTAATTATTTGTGGAGCAGAAAAACATCTCTACTCCCATGTACCATTTGACTTATTTCATGGAGTATAGTGTGATTCTTATATGCAACCAATTATTTATCTGTTCACCTGTTGCTACTCGCACAGTAGCTTGAGTTGGTGGTTAAGAGGGACCAAAATGATTTTTTCCACCTTTCTTTTCCTAAGTGGCTTATGTTTCTTGTCCAAAACAAGATACTTAGAAAACAACTTAAACAAGGTTTGCAAATAAAGATTTAAATTAGTTTCATCATACATCTTCTATCTGCTTATTTTCTTGTGATTTGCCTCTTCTCAAACTGGATTATTGGGAAAACAAAAGCCAAATGCTAATGAACTGCAAGTTGGATTCTGCTTATTGAGGTTTTACTGTACTTTACAAATGTAACTTAACAAAGTAGGCATGCCATGGGGGATTATCTAAGTCCTTTTAGATTTTTTTTTCTTACTAATCTCAACATCAAGACATATATTCATTGTAGAAAATTTAGAAAACACAGAAATGTACATAGGAAATTAAAATTGCTCAAAATCCCTTTACATCCTTTATTTTATCCTTCCTGTTTGGGCTCATTTCATAGATTACTGCATGTTATTATAACATCACCCGAACAAAGAATCACCTGATTCTCAAATTACTCCATTTTCCATTTATGACATTGCTGGCAGTGTTGCTCATTTTTTTTTTTGTAGAGGCTGAATCTGTTTAGATTGTGGGCAGCTTTCAGTGACCCACTTGTTCATTATTTTACTTGGTGTAGCTAAGCAGGAGGAGACAGCAGATGGCTATCTACCTCATCAGAGGGCTGTAACTCGATTTACTACAAAAAGCTACTCTCCCAAAAAGTGTTCCAAGGACTCCCATTCTTCCTACCTTGTCTTAGACTTAGTATAAACAACTTTATTACCAAGCTACTCACCTCATCACATTCTTGTTCTTAATCCAAGTGGAATCAACTTGCAAGGAGTGGGAGGTGGCAAACAGCCAAATAGTAATATTTTGTGCACTGGGTGGTCACATCTATGCGACATCAAACAATTGGATGTAACTTAAAGACTCAGTTGACTCAAGTAAGCATTAATTAGACAAAAGGCCACAATGGAGTGATCATTTTATTTTAACTTCTTCTCCAGCCAAAGCTGGTTGACTTAATCAAGCACATTTCCCATCTGGCTGGTTGCTGCTAACCACTAAAATAATGCAATTGGTGCAATATAATTCTCTTTCACTCCTTTTCTGGTCCATGCCATATTCTTGGGTCAAGATAATTGACAGGTAGATCCCAGACTAGCTATCTTCTTAAAAACACAAAATATCTGTTATTTTTGTGTTGTTGGATTTCTCTGAAATGGTTTGTAAAAACCCTGATATCTTACCTCTTTTCCAGTTTGGATTTGCTGCAGGCCAAGCAATAGTGGATCTATTTCAAAGAGGAACTGAGAACAGAAGCAACCATTGGTCTATATTCTCACTTTGGCTCACTGCAAATTAGAGTGGCTCCAGATGCCACTAAAGATTTCACAAAGGTGACCTTCCAAGCAAATGAATATTCACTTAGAATCATAGAGTTAGCAGGGCTTTGGAGACCATCAACCCTGTCCAAATATGGAAAAAGATATTGGGGTCCAGAGAGGAGAAACCATCTTCCTGAAGTCACCATCTAGTTATTAATAGTAGACATGGAACTGCTTTTACCAAAGTCAGAAATTGATCTGAGTTATCAAGGACAATCCCTGACCCTTAGAAACACTTTTTTTAGAGATCCTGGAGTAAGACCCTTAACTGTATGTATGGGCACAAGCTTGGCAGAAATACTTTGGTTTTGGTGACTATACTGAGAGAGAGAGAGAGAGAGAGAGAGAGAGAGAGATTGTAGATTCCTTTGTCACAGAATCACCTTTACCATGCAGGCAAGATCTCATCCATAGCCATGCACATCCTTAAGTTGATCTGGCCCAAGTAGGTGGAAAACAAACCTCTAATTCTGCCTGGCCCAATGGATTCATTTGTGGTTTATAGCACATGGCTTCATTTCTATTTGTAGAATTAAAGTCTCAGATATATCTGAAAAGAGACCTGACTTCAGAGGACATCTTAGGAGTATGTTCACTGTGCCCATCATTCAAATTAGAGGTCCATTATTATACAGTGAGGGAAGTCAGAGGAGAACCAAGCCTGCAAACTTCAAAGCAAGATAAGACCAAATTTTGATTACTATCTGACACCACCTTTCTCCTCTAGAGCCATGAAATTTGAGTTGTGAGTACAGTAGTGTACCCAGTGGATATAGGCTGTCCGGAGAGGGACTTTGATCCTGTACTCGCTGGCTCCAACTGCTTCAGGTGTGATTGAGCCCATCATGGGGAGGAGTCCCAGGTGAACTTCTCATGACCATGTCTTCCTGGAATGAGAGATCAAAGGAAAAACAATTGCTCCAAGCAACTGCATGAAGCCCACTAGGGGACTAGATGATGGAGCTAGGTTCTTTGTAAGGGGCAGTACATTAACTTCATTGTAATGTCTTTGCTGTGGTTAAGAAGCAAGACATCATTGTTCTTTTGGGTATCCTTTGGTACAGGAGCAATCTAGGGTCAGAGTAAATTCGTTGGGATGGTTGTGAGTCTGTAGAATCTTCCCCATCAGTCAGATTTTAGGTTGACTTAATCACTGACACCACAGGACAAATATTAACATAGAATATCCCATTTATGCCTATAATTTGAAAGTACAACACTACTTTAATGGTTTGTAGTGATAGTGTTCCAAAAGGGTGTTTTAAGATGATTATGTCACTCCAGAGAAGTAATTTTTTCCCCCTCTGTGTGTATATCTCTGTCTGTATTTCAGTGGGCTTTTCTGGGATGAAAGTTCAGATCTTATAATGTTCCTATTCCAAAATTTTCAATATTTCTCTATTTTTATAAATTCCATAGTACATTCCAACCTTGCTTTCTCTATCTTCCTTTTCATAGTTTATGCTCTAGCCCAAACCCATTACTTGCTCTTTTTCCTGACCTTTCCTGATTCCATGCGTTTATTCATGTTTTTCCCTCTACCTAGAATTCCATCCCTGCCTCCTACCACCACAGGTCCAAATTCTGCCCATCCTTCAAAGTCTAGTCAAATATTGCTTCCTGCAGAAGCTTTTCTTGTTCCCTCTAGTGATCTGTCCCTATTTCTGAAATCTAATAATAATTTTACCTATACTTCTTTAATGGTTATATAATATTAACTTGTTTTATAGCTATTTGTATACGTGTCTTGCTGTCTCTACTATGCTTTGAGCAACAGAAAATAATTAGTAAATGTTACAAGCTTCTTGAGGGCGGAAACCATGTTTGATTCATATTTGTACTCTGTACAGTGCCTGAAGCATATAAAAGGCACTCAACAAGTATCTGTTGAATGAATAAATGAATGTGTCTATGCCTCTCTGCCTATCTTTCCTTTGTGCATTTCCATCTCTTTCCATTTTTTGCTTAATGTTTATCCTGTATTTCCATCCATCTGTCAATCTCCCATCACCCTTCTCACTTTCTCTGTCTCTCTAATTTTCTATCTATCTATCTATCTATCATCTATCTAAAATGAAATATATATATATGTATAATTTAATTAACCATTATGAAACCAAAGTACTTTGTATCTGTAGTGTTTATTAAATTGAAGTTAGATACATTGCTTTGATCTGAAAAGCAATAGTGTTTTTATACTCCTCTCATAAAATTCTAAAGAGATAAGGTCACATTGTATTATGCCATTGCTGGTTCACTTTTTTTTCTTCATGGTCATTGACCTTTGATAGCAAAATATTCCCCATTTATACATTGAAAATAATTTAGTTATATTTTTACTATAGTTTTGTCTTGAGGCATTGAGGGGAACTGAGTTTAGGAATTGTAATACTTAGCCAAGAGAAGTGATGACTAAAGTACTAAGGAGGGGGGAATGATACTTCTTTTGATATATGTGAAAGGATACTATGGGGAGCAGGTTTTCACTTTGTTTTTATGTGGCCTTAGGAGCTAGAGTCAGGATCAAATGATGAAAGCTGGAGACATAAAGTCAACATAAGGAAGAACTTTCTAGTAATCAGAGCTGTCCAAAAATTAATGTTTCAGCCTTAAAGATAGTGAGTTCTCTGTTATTAGGGGTATTCAGAGGCTGAATGGTCATGTGGTTGAGAGAGAGTAGATGTTAATCCTAGCATTGTATGGAGGGTTGGGATAAATGATCTTTTAAGATCCTTTCCCACTCTGAGAGTCTTTGGTTCTATGATTTCCTAATATGCCTCCTTAAACTAGACTTAAGCAGGTTTCAAATGGTAAAAACACATAAAAATAGATCAATTCAAATTAAAAACAGGAAAGAATGTACAAGAAACATAACTAGAAGCTTCAGACAGCCCCATGATAAATCACTGTATGTGACCACTACATTTTACTCTGAGTTTCTTAGAAGTTAAAGTAAAAGGAAAGAAAACAACAAAATCGAGTCACATGGTTCTCTGTCAAGTGAAAAAAACCCGAAAAAAACACCTATGTGTTCAACTGCCTAGATAGATTCATTGTTTCTGCCACTGAATTCTAGGAGGAATTTATTATGTAATTCCTTATATTGTATAATAGTGTTTATTATAATAGACAATGTAGCTTTGCAAAAGATATAGATATAATCTTCAAATGGAAATTTTTTTCCCTTAAAGAAGAAAAAAGGCTGTAAAATGTCAAATCTTCAGCTGGTAAGAGCCTTTTTCCCCTTACAAAGCTAAACTCTTATGGTTAAGGTAAGTTGCTTTCTGGCTTAATATAGAGACCTGGCACAGAGAACCTAGAAGAATGGACAGTTAAGATGACCCTTAGC